TTTTCAGAAGCCTCGGCTGAAGGCTTTTGCCCTTTGCAAACAATCTTGACTGGTTAAATTTTCTATGTTTGGAATTACTAAAGTTGGAGGTGTGTTTAGGGGATAGATCTAAAAGTTTGCAGCCGGATAACAGATACTCTCTCTGGGAGGCCGAGGCGGGTGGATCATTTGAGCTCAGGAGTTCGAGACCAGCCTGAGCAAGAGCGAGACCCCGTCTCTACTAAAAAAAAAAATAGAAAGAAATTAGCTGGACAACTATAAAACATATATAGAAAAAATTAGCTGGACATGGTGGCACATGCCTGTAGTCCCAGCTACTCAGGAGGCTGAGGCAGAAGGATTGCTTGAGCCCAGGAGTTTGAGCTCGCTGTGAGCTAGGCTGATGCCACGGCACTTCAGCCGGAGCAACAGAGTTAAGACTCTGTCTCAAAAAAAAAAAAAAGAGAGAGAGATAGCCATACTCATTTCTACTGACCCAAAACAAGGAACAAGGCCCAAAAGAGGCTCTGAGAAGACTGTGGTTGTTGCCCCTTCAGTTTGCTTCTGAGGGAAAAGAACTATTTTAAAACACAGATACACATCCAAAGGAGGATGCAACCAGAAAAAAAAAAAAAATCCAGAATGTAGAAAATTCTACAAAACAAAGTCCATGGTTTAACAAATAAATTGCAGAGGAATAAAAGTAATAGCAGAACTACAAATAAAAACGAATTAAGAAAAATCAACCATTTGCAATGTATGAACTTTATTTGAATCCTAATTTGAAAAGTCTTGAGATGTTAATTTTGACTTGATATTTGATGATATAAAAGAATTGTTGCTAATATTTTAGGTGTGACAACGGTAGTATGGTTATTTAAGTCCATATCTTTTTAGAGATCTATACTGAAATATTTATGGATAAGTGATATACACCTTGGCTTAGCTTCAAAATAATACACTGGAGGCACACATATGATTTAACGTTTGGCTGAAAGTTTATGTTGAAGCTGGGAGATACAGACATGCAGGTTCATTTCCCATAATAAAAAGTAAAGGCCGGGCGTGGTGGCTCACACCTGTAATCCTAGCACTCTGGGAGGCTGAGGCAGGAGGACTACTTAAGCTCAGGAGTTCAAGACCAGCCTGAGTAAGAGCGAGACCTCATCTCTACTAAAAGTAAAAAAATTAGCCGGGCGCTGTGGTGCATGCCAGTAATCCCAGCTATTCGGAAGGCTGAGGCAGAAGGATCGCTTGAGCCCAGAAGTTTGAGGTTGCAGTGAGCTATGATGATGCCACTGTACTCTAGCCCGGGTGACCGAGTGAGACTCTGTCTTTAAAAAAAAAAAAAAAAGGTTCAACAGAAAGTATGGCACAACCACAGATTTATTATTCCGTCTTAAACAGTCAGCAGGACAGTTAAGCAAGCTGAAGGAATACTTTTTGTACATCAGAAGTACAAAAAGCATAAGATTAAGGAAGAAAAGGGAATAAGAAAAAACAATTTGTAGGGTTGAATATTTTCATCTGCTAGCATAGACTATTGTCATTAGACATTGCTAATGAGCTTAAGAGTAGCCAGATAGTTTAAACTAGCCAAGAGGGCTGGGTATAAGACAACAGTAGAGGAGCTGAGGCTAAACTAGAGAATACGTGCTTCAACCTAAAGGCATCCAGTTTTATTTTATTTACTTATTTATTTACATGAGGTCCTTCAGGGAAAGGAATCTAGTTTTAAATAAATACCATGCCAAAAAAAAATGTTTTTAACCAGTTATTCCAAATACCCTCACATGATCACTTCATTTATGAGCCAAAAGAGGAAATAACAATCAAACCAGGATGATACAGGAAAACCAGGCCACCTGGTCACTCTATTCACTGTACATACACATAAACTGAGGAATAGTTTGCTTGTTTGTATTTAAGTGAACTGCCCGAAGCCAAATGAATTTGCCTCACAAGACCTAGAGACTAAAGCCCAGAGGCAGTGACTCACCCAAAGTCACAGTGCTAGTGGGAGAGGGCCAGTACAAGTACTAGAACTCTGAACCCAAGTACCCTGAAACTCTGTCCAGGTTAATAATCTACTATTTTGTACCATTTTCTTTTCTTGAGTTACATGTCTCTGGCTCCTTTTTTACCATAAAAAGATTTTCCTCAAAAATCTGTTCCTCAACCACACTCTGAAAATAAGCCAAAATAATAATAATAATAATAATGATAATAAGACAATGACAGAGAAGTGAAGAATTTCAAATACAAAAGCAGACTCCTAGTCATCCATACACACATAATAATCCTGTGTTCTACAAACACCTTTTCCACATGATGGACAACTCTTCCAACTATAAAACACAATTCTGTACCATGTATAATGTCAGTAATAAAATATAGCAGAAATTAATAAAAGCAATTAACTAGCCCTTTTGAAGACTGAGGAAAAGCATACATTTATTGATACATTTAATCTCCAAATGTTAATTCTTTCCTATCTCACTGGACAGGTAAGAACCAAAACTTCAGAGCTTACTACATTTGCCCCAATATTCAGCTAAGCAAATGAGGAGTCTCCAGAGCAGTTTTCCTAGGCATTAACTGACTTAAGAATCTGGTTGGCTCCAATACCTGTATCCTTTATATTATCCCAAACAGCCACTGGAATCAAGATAAGCACTAAATTTCAGAAATACGTAATTCTTTACTTCCTGCTTAAAATAAAACTTACTGGCCCAACTAACTTTCTAATACAAAAGTAGAAAAAGCATGGGGTTCTAGAATCACATCAATCTATATCTGAATCCTTACTTTGCCACTTACAAGGTAACTGGTCAAATTAAATGAGCCTCAATTTCCTCCTACATAAATGAGAAATACCACCAGAGCTATAAAGACTAAAGCATGAGGTACAATGCCTGGCACATAATAGGCCCTCAGTAGGAAGCTCTTGTTATTTTTACCGAGAGGTTTTTATTTTAAAGCCACTGATGAATATAGTCACAGCCTTGGTAGAGTCTATAAAAAGTATCTCGAGTCCATCCGTTAACTCCAAAACTGCACATGAAGGAGTGCAATCAATGTAAGTGAAGATTACAAAATAAATTGGCAGATCTATTTGTCCACATTATATTAAATTGTGAAAAAGGGATACCCAATTAGTCAATCATTGGTCCAATAATAAGTCCTTGAATTGCTAAATTTTAAAGTAAAGTAAAATGGAATTTCCTTTCCATTTCCATAACTGATGCCTCCCATATAATAATCTTCTAGAGCACAGAAGTGTGTCTTATATATGTTATACTCAGAATACCTAGGAAAGTGACTTTCGCACGATGTGTTCAATAAATACTTGTTAAATTAAAAGTTGATATGGTTCTCTTAATAGCTTTTTAAAAAATACTATAATAGGATCCTTTCACTTCAAAACATTCAAATGTAAAAGGTTCATATTAGGAATAGCTCCTCCAAAGAAACTGCTGTTTATAAGAAGCACTGTTAACAAAAGAGACTAAAACTCAAAATTGCAATTCTCTTCCAAAGAAAATTTTAAAAACAAACAAAAACACTGACACATTGAGCACCTCAAAACAGGAATGCACTATCCATTCCATTTGCAAAATCAACTTACCTTTCTGCACCTTCCTTTTGCAGATTTGAAATCCAGATTCTCACACAATCACCGGCCTTCTTTTCTGTTTGATTCAATAGCATACACACTACTGAGTGTCTCTCTCTTTCTCTCTCTCTCAAATACATCAACAGAAAGCACACTTGTCTTATTCAGCTAATAATGAAAACAAAAGTGCAAAAATCCTAACCCAAAATTCTTAAAAAAAAAAAAACAAAAAACAAAAAACAAAACTTGAGATTAAACAAGGTATAGAGTAACTGTAAAGGCTGTCATCTTTTCCCCCTAAACATACTTCAATATGAACATAAATGACTTTTTTCCCCAAATGGGAAAGGATTCCTGTGTCTTGATGGGAGGGCAAGGAGTTAAAAATAAAATACATATATATCTTAATAAGCCACTTCCAAACAGGTGAGATACCATCAGAGTGTGTGCTGTTGCAGGAAACAGAATGGAGAGCCGTGAATGGGAGTCTCTGCACTTCATATCTGCAAAAGAAGAGAATAAAAAGGTTAACTTAACTCTAGACTTAGATTATTTCTTTTACCTGTTTAAAGCAGTGGCCATGAACAGTTAAAATCAAAAGATGAAAATGTGCTGGTTAAGACAGAGGTTTGTAGATGAACTCAACCTTCTTGTCCTTAATATATAAATTTAAACTGTATCTATAGTATTAGAAGTCACTTGAACACTTTTATGCCACACCACCTTGACATTAAAGATTAAAAAAAAAATCTCTAATCTCTTCTTTAAACTTTTCTTAAAACTACCATTAAAATTAGCAAAATGTGCTTCCCTATTAAACAGTTATCCTAAGGGAAATGACTTCTAACAGTAAGAATAACAGTTAAAAGATTCACTTTTACAAATGCCAGTCCCCCTGTAAGGGGTGACAGGTAACCTTTTGGCAACCCCAGTGTACACACCTCTTTCTTGAACCCGACTAAACCCTACTAAAGTTAAAGGTTGAGGACAGACGAGTGCCTCACAAGCAATCTCCCCCGCTCAGCACCCCATTCTCTGCAAAAAAATCCATCTGCATTTTGTATTAATTAACCCACCCGACCCAGTGTGGGTAAGCTGGGGCCAGGATGCAGAAGGAGGCCGGAGATGGGGGAGTGAGACCCGCGAGCCCATCTGCACCCGCGCCCTCCCACCCGGCGGCACACCTGCCCCCGCAGGCGCCCACCTGGGGCAGGGACCGCCCTCTCCGGGCCTTGCGCGCCTGCCCCACTCGGAGCGCGCGCCACGCGCCGCGCAGGACCAGAGGGCGGTGCAGGCAGCGGGGCCCACGGGCGCCGGAGAGGCGAGAGCCCGGGGTGAAGGGGCCTCTCGGGCTCGCTCCCTCCCTCGGGACCGAGCCGGAGAGAGCTGGGGTCAGGCGCGGTACCTTTTGGACAGGTCCATGAGGACCCCGGAGAAGAGCTTCTCCCCGAGGCGGAACGACACGACGAGCGCGTCCTCAATGATGTGGTCCAGCGTGACCCGCACCTCGGAGCCCGGAATCAATTGCGACACCGCCGAGTCCCCGCCCGCCGGCGGCACGAGCGCCGGTGCTGCGGGCTGAGACAGCGGCGTCTCCTCGCGCTCCTCCGGAGCTGGGGGCTGCTCGGGCAGCGGTGCAGAAGGTGGAAGTTCGGGCTCTTCCTGAGGCGCGGCTGCCGCCGGCTCCGCCGCCCGAACGGGCAGCTTCTCCTCAGCCTCCAGCTCTGGCCCTGCCGCCTCTGGGCTGTGAGCGAGCTCCCCCGGCGGCGGCGGTGGTGGCGGGAGCGGCGGCTCGTCGGCCTGAGGAACAGACTTCTGCCCGTCGGCCTCGCCATCCGGCACAGACGCTTCAGTGGCCGTGACCGGGAGGGGGTCAGTACCGGCCTCGCTGCCGGGGATGGGTTCCATCTCCGGCTCGGCCTCGCCGGCGCCCCCCTCCCCGGGGGACGCTGCAGTCGCTGCCGCCTCTGCAGCTACGGCCGCCATTTTCTTCCTGGCTTCTCCCTCCTCCAACTCCGGCAGCAGCGGCGGCGGCAGCGCTGCTTGGTTCCCTGGACCTTCCCCTCCCTCCCGCGAACAGTTTTGTCCCGCCCTTTCCCTGATGCTCGTTATTGGCACCGCGCCATTGGTTCCGTGCTACACCCCTCCCGCTCTTGTGATCTTCCATTGGTCAGGCTGGGACGTCTATCATCTAGTCAGTCCGTCCCTCCCACGTAGAGTAGGAACTTCTCATTGGCCACATGAGTTGTCAAATGGGGACTCTGAGAGGAGGAGTGGGAGGGCGGGCTCAAAGGGGGCGGGGGAAGTCACAAAAGACGAGCCATATACTTATTGCTTCTTTCTATTGGCTGGAAGAGGAAATATAGTTTTATGGTTGGCCTACGCTCCTGCCCGTTAGAGGCCAGGTCTTTGGAGGTGGGAGAAAGGAGGCAATCACGTGGCGTACCAGTTCTTTCAAAGGCAACCGAGGGGAGGAGTAACAAGGTAATGCGAGAGGGAAACCGCTTCCCAAGAATCTCTGCGCAGAGATCCTTATAATAAATGTTATTTCTAGGCGCGGACCTTCTTGTGGCCGCGTGTGGGCACGACAAGCTCCTTTGGGAAAGACAACTAAAGTTTGAAATATAATCCTACACACACTTTTTGAGTACCTGCTATGCTAATGACTGTACTAGGTGCTGGGAATTGAATCATGTCCATAACCTCAGGGCAGCTACTCCAGCTTCCACATCAGGAATGTTTTCTTTGACTTCTCTCCACTTTCTAGGAAACACCTACTTATCTCAAAAAAAAAAAAAAAAAAAAAGGAAAATGCTAATGGCAGAGGAGAGACACCATCCACACTGGATTAAGTTGATGGAGTCCTGCGACATTGCTGGACTGCTATGTGAACACTCCTTATTCTCCAAATCTACGCAAAGTGGACACACCTAGTTCCCTGCTTAAGCCTTTTTCTTTCCTGTCCTCTCCTGTATTATGGTACAAAATGTCTCTCTCTTCAGTGTCCTGATGCCTCTCTTTCTCTACTCCCACTTCAAATCTCTTGCTTTGTTATCTCTGGAAGAATTTGGTGAACTCATTTCTCTCAAATGGCACCCCAGAATCAGCCTTTTCTCCAGAAGAGATCATAGGCACTGACAATGCCTACAAGACATGGGAGAAAAGATGTTAGCATTAATGGGAGTAAAAATAAAATTCTATTTAAAAAAAAGTCCAGGCATGGTGGCTCACACCTGTAATCCCAGCACTTTGGGAGGCTGAGGCAAGAGGATAGCTGGAGGCTGGAAATTCTAGACCAACCTGGGCAGCATTGCAAGACCCCCATTTCCATACGAAAAAAACAAAAATCAAAAGAATAATTACAGCTAACATTTCTTAAGTACCATGTACCAGGCACTAGTACAAACACTATGGTATATCATTTCATTTAATTCTTAACAATAAGGCAGGTACTACTATTATAGTCATTTTATATCATTTTATAGATTAAAATTTTGAGGCATGAAGAGAGTGCCCAAGGTCACTCAACTGGGAAGTTGCATAGTCAGAATTCCAGTTTTACATGGAAAGAACTGAAAATGGCAATAAGCAAATATCACCATATGCTCTGCCTATTTCAAGCCAGGTGGCTCTTGAGGAAAGGCCAGTAGGAAATCCTAGTCAGGGCAGTTCCAGAATGTCATTTCAAAATAACAGAAGGTAATGAATGTACTTTGTGTTCACTTTGTACCAGAGATTTTCCCATAAACTCTCATTTAAAATCCTGTAAGCTAAGTCTTCTCCTTCTTTTACAGATGAGGAAATGGAGTCTCAGCTAAGTTAAAGATCTTATGGGTACATAGCTAGCTAGCAGCAGATTCTATCTAACCCAGGACCTTCCAAGTTCATGACTGTTTCACTAATACATTCATTCAACAGATAGTTATTTCCTGCAGGCTAGATGCCTGCCATTAGCAGACACAGATCCTGCCTTACAGGATTTTCACCATGACACTTTATCTGTAGTTAACTACAATCAATTAATTTAACACAACATAGAGTCTATGAAATTCCTAGACCCTGAGGTCCCACATTGTATAATCCCCCTCAGGGAGAAAACTACAGTTTCGATCCTGGGATGGGATTACCTCTTGCAGTAATTCATTGCAGGATGCTGCAGTGAATAATTTAAATTTCAGTTTTATAGCAGTTTTTGGCATACCAAGTTACCCTCCTAAGCCACCATTTTCAACCTGCCACTCAAGAGCCTCTACTGGCTCCCTATGTGCACATGGAGTGTACTGCCTTCAGCTTGGCTTTTAAGGCCCTCTCTGTGTTCTCACCCTATCTTTCAAGGTCTATTCTCCACTACTCTTCAGGCTCCCCAATACTGGGAAGATCTGGTCATGTATTCTTCATCCATTCATTCAACCAACAAATATTGAAGGCCTATTACATATCAATTAGTGGGCTAGGTAATAAAGAACATAAAAGTAAACATAAAACATAATTTATGTTTACTAAAACATAAATTTAGTAACTTCCCTGCTGGGGCTTATTTTTCTAGTCAAGAAGCTAGAAAATAAGCAAACTGTGAATAAACAAGATGATGACATATTGTGAGCGGTACCATAGGAGAAATAAACAGAGGTGCTAGAGAGTAGCTGGTGGAGGAGCAGAAGGGTGTCTCCTTTAGATAAGGTGGTCAGAAAAGGCCTCTCTGAGGACAGGACATTTTAACTAAGATGCAAAGGGAAAAAAGGAGTCAGCTATTGGCATTGCTGGATGAACATTTGAGTCAAAAGGAATAGCAATTGCTTAAAGTTCTCTGGCAAAAGAGGGCTTGGCTTATTGCAGAAACAGTTTAGTTGAAAAGGAGTGAGGAGGAAGAGGAATAGGTGAGATGAGGTTGAAAAGGAAAACAGGTCCCAAGTCATATGTTATGTACTACAGATACAAAAGCAAGGGATGCTGCTCTCAGGGAACTCCAAATCTAGTGGGGAACTTGGCTTTTACATTTGCCGTTGTATCCTAGTCCACTCTGCATTCAGCCTCCTCCTGCATGGAATTAGCATAGAGGAGGCCCTTGATATTTGAGTAATGAATAATCACATGGTATTTGTGGCTGGCTAGATGGTTGGATGGATGGAGGGAGCGTTCAGTGGATTTGGAGGGTTGGATGGATGTTTGATGGATTGGATAGATAGTTGGAGAATTAGACAGATGGTTGACTAGATGGATGCATGGTTGGATAGACAGATGAATGGCAGGGATAAGGAATCCAGCCGATTGCTCAAGCAGATCCTCACTGTCATGAGCAGACTTTGACCTCAAACTCTGCAGGGTATTATAGTTTGGTGGCTAAAAAGTCAGAGAGTAGAAGGGAATGAACCTGTATCTGACTCCCCCAGTCAGCCTCTGACTAGCTATATAATCTGAGCATGATCTCAGACAAGTTGCTCAACCTCTGTTTCCTCATTCATAAAATATCTTAATAATAACTACCTACCAATAGGGTTTATTTGTTTTTAAATTAGGTAACATGACATAAAGTGCTTAATATAGACCCTCAATCAATAATTGTTAGCAATAGGTCCAGAAACGCAGTCTTATTGCTGCAACTGGGGTTGATCATACTCGAGAGGTGCTGACTCCCACCCAATAACCAAATTTGTGAAAAATTAAGTAAAAGCCCAAACAACAGGGCCTTGGTTCATGGAGAGGGAAAATATGGCTAAATATGGCTTAGCGGTTATTTCCTGTGGGCATGGTCTCTCAGGAAATCAAGTTATAGACACAAGATAACATGAGGGGCCGGGCGCGGTGGCTCACGCCTGTAATCCCAGCTCTCTGGAGGCCGAGGCGGGCGGATTGTTTGAGCTCAGGAGTTCGAAACCAGCCTGAGCAAGAGCGAGACCCTGTCTCTACTAAAATAGAAAGAAATTAATTGGACAACTAAAAATATATAGAAAAAATTAGCCGGGCATGGTGGCACATGCCTGTAGTCCCAGCTACTCGGGAGGCTGAGGCAGGAGGATCGCTTGAGCCCAGGAGTTTGAGGTTGCTGTGAGTGAGGATGACGCCACGGCACTCTAGCCTGGGCAACAGAGTGAGACTCTGTCTCAAAAAAAAAAAAAAGATAACATGAGGGACATGGCTGTCAAACCACAGAGGCTGAATAAAGTGCTCCTCCTGTTCAAGGCCTATTACTGTCTAGGTAACTAATATTTCTCTTCTAGAATCAGATCACCTGCTCCCAGACCAAGACTGTGATGGATAACTACTGACAAATATGTCAGTCATTGCCTCTGTGTGTGTGTGTGTGTGTGTGTGTGTGTGTGTGTGTGTGTCAGTGGTTGTCAGTGTATTGAGGGATCTTTCTGAGAATCTGCTAAAAAGCTATTTTATACGTATTGTGTGATCCCATTTACATATGGTACAAAAACAACCAAAACAAATTTATGCTTTTTGAAGTCAGGATAGGGGTTACTCTTGGTAGGGGATGGGCAGTATAGCTAGTGACTAAAAGGAACATGAATGGTGCTTTCTGGGACTCTGATAATTTCTATTTCTTGCTCTGGGTACTGGCTACACAGGTATGTTTAGCTTTTAAAAATCCATCAAGCTGTGCGCTTATGTGTACTTTTCTGTAGGTAAATTTGTATCAGTTATCCATAACTGCTGGTGTCTCAGTGTCCTAACAACATACAGTTATTTTATTATAGTGTCTGTGGGTCAGAAATCATTCCTGGGAATGATTTAACTGGGTCCTCTGTTTCAGGGTCTCTCACAAGGCTACAATCAAGATGTTAGCTGGAAGTATGGTCTCATCTGAAAGCTCAAACTAAGGAAGGGTTCATGTGATGATTAATTATATGTGTCAATTTAACTGAGGCAAGGAGTACCCAGATTAAATATTATTTCTGGTGTGTCTGTGAGGATGTTTCTGGATGAGATTACCATTTGAATTGATAGACTCAGTAAAGTGGATGGCCCTCCCCAGTGTGAGTGGGCCTCGCCCGATCTGTTGAGAGTCTGAACAGAGCAAAAGGTGGAAGAA